ACCGAAGGCTGTGCTCTTTGATCTTCATCAGTAAATGTTTTAAGTCCTCTTCACTTTCAGCAAGCAAGGTTGTATCATCTGCATATCACAGATGAGTCTTCCTCTAACCCTGATGTTATGTTTTTCTTCATATAACCCAGCTTCTTGGATTAGTTGCTCAGCATACACGTTGAATAAGTATGGTGAAAGAATATAACCCTGTCACACATCTTTCTTAATTTTTAACCATTCATTGTTTCCATGTTTGAACAACTGCCTCTTGGTCAATGAACAGGTTTCTCATGAGCACAATTAAGCATTCCAGAAAACTCATACTTCGCAATATAGCTTATCATGATCTATACAATTGAAGGCCTTTACATAGTCAATAAAGCACAAGTAAACATCTTTCTGGTACTCTCTGCTTTCAGCCAAGATCCATCGGACATCAGCAGTGATATCCCTCGTTCCACAGCCTCTTCTGAATGCTGCTTGAACCTCTGGAAGTTCTCTGTAAATGTATGCTTGCAGCCATTTCTGTATCACCTTTAGCAAAACTTTACTCTCATGGAATATCAAAGATATTGTCCAATGATTTCTGCATTCCATTGGGTCATCTCCTTCAATATTGGAAGTTGAGGATTAAATTTTACTTCAGTTCTTTAAGCTTGAGAAATGCTGAGCGTGTTCTTCACTCTTGATTTTTCTAACTTCAGGTCTTTGCACATTTCATTATACTACTTGACTTTGTCTTCTCGAGCTGCCCTTGAAAATTTTCTGTTCAGCTCTTTTACCTCTTCATTTCTTCCATTTATTTTAGCATCTGTATGCTGGACAGCAAATTTCAGAGTCTCTTGACACCCATTTTGGTATTTTCCCTCTTTCTTGTCTTCTTAATGACCTTTTGCTTTCTTCCTGTATGCTGTGTTTGATGTCATCCTATAGCTATTCTTGTTTATGGTCATTAGTGTTGAGTGCATCAAATATGTTCTTCAGATGATCTATTTAGGCAAGATAATTTCAAGGTCATATTATGGTTCTTGTGGAATTGTTATAATTTTCTTCAGCTTCATACTGAACTTGCATATGAGTAATTGGTGGTCTGTTCCAGTCTACCTCTGGGCTCGTTTTGGCTGATGCTATGGAACTTTTCCACCATTCCATCCCCCCAGATGTAGTCAATTTGATTTCTGTGCATTCCATCTGGTGACGTACCTGTGTATAGTCATCTTCTGCGTTGTTTAAAAAAGGTATTTGCAATGAAGAAGTCATTTTTCTTGGAAAATTCTATCATGCGATTTCCAGCATTATTTCTATTTGCTTTCCAATCATCAGTAATAACCAATACATCTTGATTGCATATTTGATCAATTTCAGACTGAAGAAGTTGATTTGTTGTTGTTAACTTCCGTCGAGTCGGTTCCAACCCATAGCCACTCTATACAGGGTTTCCAAGGAGCAGCTGGTGAGCTTGAACCACCGACCTTGCAGTTCAAATGGCTTTACAGTCTGGTGCATTAACCCACAACTCCATACCAGGACTCCGAAGAAGTTGGTAGAATTCTTCAATTTCATCATCATTTGATCTAGTGGCTGATGCGTAAATTTGAATAACAGTTGTATTAGCTTGTCTTCTCTGTTGTTAAGAGCTGTAGAATTGGTTCTGACCCATGTTGTTGTTGTTAAGTGCCATCGAGTCGATTCTGACCCATAGCAACTCTATATAGGGTTTCCAAGGAGCAGCTGGTGAGCTTGAACCACCGACCTTGCATTTCAAATGACTTTGCAGTCTGACGCAACCTATACAGGGTTTCTGAGGCTGTAAATCTTTATCGGAGCAGAAAGCCTCATCTTTCTCCTGTGTAACAGCTGGTAGTTTCGAACTGCTGACCTTGAAGTTATCAGTCCAACTCATAACCACTACCCTCCCATAGCTCCTTGTCTTCCTTGTAGGCATATGGATATTATCCTATCACAGTCAGCACTGTACTTTGAGTCAGATCTTGAAATATTCTCTTTTTATGATGAATGTGATGCCATTTCTCTTCAATTTTTCATCCCTGGCATAGTAAACCATGCTGTTGTCAGATTCAAACTGGCCAATACCAAACCATTTCAGTTCACTAATATTTAGGTTATCAATGTTTATTCATTCTATTTCATTTTTGACAATTTTCCTAGATTCATAACCTCGTATATTCCATGTTACAATTATTAATGGATATTTACAGCTATTTCTCTTCATTTTGGTTATCACCCATCAGTCTCAAAAGTTTTACTGCATTAGTATCATCATGTGAGGTCAACTCTACTTTGAGGAGACAGCTCTTCCCCAGTCGTATTTTGAGTGCTTTCTAACCTGAGGGGCTCATTTTCTGGCACTATATTACAATATTCTGGTGCTCTTAATCATGTTTCAATATTCAATATACTGGATTGGCACAGTAGCAGCAGTGGTGGGCTCTAATGTAACAATGATTGTGAGGTTGGTGCAGAACTGGGCAGTGTTTCATTTTGTTGTGCACATGGTCACTATGAGTTGGCACCAACTCAATGGCACCTAACAACAACAACAACACAATATGATACTGTTCCACTGCTATTCATAAGGTTTTCAGTGACTAAATATATGGTAGTAGTCTGTCTTGTCTTCTTCCTAGTCTGTCTTTGTCTGGAAACTCATCTAAAACCTGTCCACCATGGGTGACCCTGGTGGTATTTTAAATACCGGTGGCATACCTTCCACCACAAGTCACCATAGTATGAAAAACTGACAGATGAGTGGAGAGATGCAAATTAAAACAATGAGATATTATTTTACTCCAACTTTGGTAGAAAAGTTCCAAAAGGAGGAAGACAACAAATGCAGGTGAGGGTGTGGAGAGACTGGGACCCTCCTATAGTACCGGTGGGACTATCAAATGGTGCAACCACTGTGGAAAACAGTATAGCACTTTCTCAAAAATTTGGAAGTAGAAATGCTGTATGACCCAGCGAACCCTTCTACTTGATATATATCTTCACGAACTAAGAGCTGTGACAAATCTAGATCTATGCACACCCATGTTCATTGCAGTAGTAGTCATAATACCAACCAGATGGCGAGAGCCTAAATGCCCATTAACAGAAGAATGGTTAAACAAACTTTGGTATATATGCATAATGGAATATTACACAATGTCGAAGAATAACAAAAAATCTGCAAAACACCTCACAACATGGATGAACCTGGAAGACATTATGCTGAATGAAATTAGTCAATTACAAAAGAACAAATATTGCATGAGACCACTATTGGGAAAAGGAGCTCTGGTAGCGTACTGGTTACGAATCGCGCTGCTAACCTCACAGTCAGCAGTTTGAAACACCAGCTGTTCCGCAGGAGAAAGATGAAGCTTTCTGCTCCCATAAAGATTTACAGCCTCGTAAATCCTATGCAGGGTCGCTATGAGTCGGAACCAACTCCACAGTACATAACAACAACAACAGCCACTGTTGTAAAAAGTTAAGAAAATATTTTCTTGTGAAATGAAACATTCTATAATGGTAGCGTAGTGGTTACGAATCGGGCTGCGGCGAACCGCAACGTCTGCAGTTTGAAACTACCAGCTGCTCCGCGGGAGAAAGATGAGGCGATCTGCTCCCGTAAAGATTTACAGCCTCGGAAACCCTGTTCAGGGTCGCTATGGGTCAAAACCGACTCGATGGCACTTAACAATAACATAATGGTTACAGGGTGAGTGGGGGAGGAAAAAAATTAAGTGAATAGAGGTAAATATCATTAACTGATGGTACATGGAGTGAATTACAATCATTGTAGTGACACAAACTATATAATTTGTTGAATGTAGGACTGATGATCTGTGTTTTGTAAACCTTCATTCAAGTCACAATAAAAAGTTTTTTTAAAAAAGAAGCAAGGCAAACATTCAGCAAGAATTGATAACATTATAGGTCCAGGTAGCCTTATTATGATTAATGTGATGTAATTGTGTCCTCTCCAAACAACAGTTCCTCCTTCACCCATATGATTCAGTGGGGACTACCAATTACTATACACTTCTCACCATGGCCAAAAGGCCATAACTTAGATCGGTAAAAATGAGCTTTTAAAATTTGATTTTCCAATTGGAACTAGAAGGAAAGATTCTTTTTCTGTTTGGTTACTAAGTGTTATGGACTGATTGGTATCCTTTAAAAAGATATGTTCAAGTTTTTAATGCTTGATACCTGTAAATAGGACCTTATTTTGAAATAGTGTCTTTGTAGATGTAATTAGTTATGTTAACATGGGGCCATACTGGATGGCATGTGTCTTTTTAGAAGAGTGGAAGAAACACTGCAACCGAGAGACATTGTGGGATAATGCCATGTGACCACAGAGGGAAGACTGGGGTGATGAAGCTACAAGCCAAGAAATGACTGGGGCTACTAGAAGTTGGGAGAGATAACAAAGAATCTTCTCTTAGAGTCTTCAGAGACAGCATAGCCCTGCCAATACCTTGAACTGGGACTTCTAGCCTCCAGATATGAGAGGATAAATTTTTGTTGTTTTAAGTTACCTGGTTTGTGATACTTTGTTTTGATAGCCCTAGGTAACTAATATACTTGGTGTCCAGCTTGCCCTGTCATGAAAATTCATCATTAGCTAGAGAATATAAAGCCAATGTGTAGAAAGAAGTAAAGATGAGAACTGGAGACAGAATGAATATGACAGAGCCCTGAGGGCATCAAATCCCTGAATCTGGTCACTCTGGAAGTCAGTTTAACTGCTGTTCTTTCTTCATTGTGGTTGCATGAGTCAACCAGTTCCCCCTTTTGGCTAAGAAAGTTTCACACAGATCTTATTACGCACAACCAAGGTTCTTGAGTTGAAGTCAAGGGAAGTAAGTTCCCAGTTAGCTAAGTAGTCAACTGAATAGATTTTAACATACTAGCAAGACAATGACACTTGAAGTTGTTACTCTAGAGAGGTCTAACACTGTCCAATCTTGTCTACCTGTTGTGGGTCAGGCTCAACAAAGTACGTAGTGATGGTGGTGATGCTGGGTACAATGCTATACAACCAGCCGATGCCAGTGATGATGACATGCAGGATGTGCTCCCGGCTGTGGACATAGTGATAGGCAGTGCTAAAGACATTGGCAACACCCTGCAGAGACAGAGAATAAAAATTGGCTCTTCTTTTAAAAATAACTAGTAATGCATCAATTGGATTATCTCTTTGTTGTTGTTATAAAAATACAGATAACACAATATATGACAATTCAATCACTTCTGTGTGCATAATTCAGTGAGATCAATTACATCAATCATATTACACAACCATTACTAATATTCCTTGCCAATTTTCTATAAACAGAAACCCACTGCTTCCTAAAAAATGATTTCCCCTTCACCCACTTCCTCTCACTCCTTATAATCACTAATACGCTCTGATCTCTATATTAATTTGCCTATTCTAGTTATTTCATATTAGGGAGATCATACATTATTTGTCCTTTTGTGACTTAGCATAATGTTTTCAAGCTTCATACATGTTGTGGCATGTAATGTACGGGACTTAATTTCTCTTTATGGCAGAGTAATATTCCATTGTTTGTATACACCACATTTTGTTTATTCGTTCCTTGGTTGTGTCTACCTTTTAGCTACTTTGAACAGTGCTGCAATGAACACTGGTCTGCTGGTGGTGGTGGTGATAACTATGTGCTGTGGCACTGCAGGATAATAATTGGACTGTTAATCACAAAATTGGAGGTTCAAATCCACCAACTGCTCCTTGGAAACCCTATACAGGGTCGCTATGAGTTGAAAACAACTTTATGTTAATAAGTAATTATCAACTTCCTACAAATTAATAATCAGTTCTCAAAAGGCAGTGTTCTAGAGTCTACTATTATAAATATATATCACTAAGAAATCAAAGGTGTAAGGGGAGCACTACAATAAGATCCACATATCTTATTATGCTTCCTAATCATCATCCAGTGGACTTTGGATGTTTGCTACCAGTGTGGTGCTATGGGATAATGCACTGGACCACAAGATCAGTTTGAATTGCAAGGTCAGTAGTTCAAATTCACATAACAACAACAACAACAACAACAGTATCAGGAGATAAACTTTGAAATGGAAAACAAAAACAAACTGTTTAAAAACCAAGAATTAATATCACTCTCAGGAAAAGAGGTAGGAACTGCCATTAACTGACACCAATAGTAATGTCAACTTTTCATGGCTACTGTCATGTGTTTGGTTCCAAGGCCTATAACATGCTTTTAGATCACACAGGCCTCCTATAGGCATAAAGAGACCTTGTTCCACAGGAAGTCCTTAAAACCCGTTGATATTGTTGTGAAGAAGCCCAAGAAAACACAAATTCTTTTAAATCATCAGTATTATATATCAAGACTAAAGACACCTCAGGAATCAATTTAAATTCATTTTGACATGTTTTCTAAAAAGACTATGTATAATTCATCTACTGAATAATTATATTATTCATTTTGCTTAATATCATTACATTATTTAGATGAGAATGAATCTTATTATTAAAAATACGTCCAGAGAAAGCGATTTTACCACTTTCCTCAGTTATATACCCAATAAGTAGGAAAATGAAAAATAATGGTAAGTAAATATAGTCAGGAGCTTACAGGGGAACAAAGGATGAGTACACAGTTAGTCGATGACCTGCTACTATACCCACAGCCCATTGCCTCCATAACAGCTCTCAATTGTCCTCATTTGCAATTTTTTTTTCATGTTTTATTGTGAATTATATGATATTTTACATGGGAGAACTTTAGTTTTACATTCATTCCACCATACATCGTTTCATTGCCATGGTTCCAATCCCCTCCATGCATCATCAACCG